ATCGAGTCTTTTCAATTTAAACGGATTTTGTGGATTGTGATTAGATATCATCGCTGAATCTGCTGAGAGTGATTTCGGAGCAAGAAGGGTGTACGATTGAGGAGCTGAATGCAGGGAAAGTGTGCGATTGGTTCCTCAAAGACAAGCTCAAAAGAGAACAGAATTTGGATTCTGCTGTTCTCCAATGGGACGATTCACAATTCATGATGTAATTATTTAGTAAACCTATTTTTATTTGTTTTATTATTATTATTATTATTATTATTATTATTATTATTATTATTATTATTAAGCTGTCATTTAAAAAAAAAATGTCGTTTTTCTTATAGAGCAACTCCAATGGAGAGATATCAAAATGGAGAATTAAACATTCATTTGATATTTGATATAATACTTTGATACTTCTAGAAAAAAAAAATTACTCAAATCACAACTACCAAATAGATTATTAAATTTTAAATATATGAATAATTATATTATTAAATGCCACGTGTCAAATAGTGATAGGTTAATTGAGTGGTTACATTTTTTATGCCTCATTTTCCGAACGGAAGCACGGTAAAGAATTAATTTCTACGAATTTATCATATAGAACAAAATAGCATTCGGATTCCACCGAAAACTCTGGAATCCACCAGAAAAATAGAGAAAACTCTAAATATTTTATTAAAATTCGACATTCCTCTCAAAATAAAGTCCTAAGCAACTCCAATGGAGGCATTAAATGAGGTATCAAATTAAAAAACTACCACTTTGATGCTCTAAAATTAAAAAATCCTCCTCCAATGGAGGCATTAAATGGAGAATTATTTTGATACTCAACCACCCCGAGGTGCAAAAATACTCCCTGGAAAATGAGGTATCAAAAATATAACCACCCAATTAACCTATCACTATTTGACACGTGGCATTTAAAAATATAATTATTCATATAATTAAAATTTGATAATCTATTTGATACTTGCGGTTGGAGTGCATTTTTTTCCAGGAAGTATCAAAGTATTATATCAAGTATCAAATGAATATTTAATGCTCCATTTTGATATCTCCCATTGGAGTTGCTCTAAGACAGCTATTTATACTAAAAAACTGGAGTATTTTTGCACCTCGGGGTGGTTGAATATCAAAATAGTACTCACTTTAATGTCTCCATTGGAGGAGGATATTTTAATTTTGAAGCATCAAAGTAATATTTTTTTAGTTTGATACTCCATTTAGTTCATCCATTGGAGTTGTTCTAAGTAATGCAAGAATTATCAGCTAGATTTTTATTTTTATTACAATTTCTAAAAAACATATTAGACGATGTATGAGATTTCGATTTTTTTAATCTAATTCTTATTTTTTATTATAATTTTAAGGAAATCCAAAAATTATATTTAAATATCAATAGTAGCATGTATTTAATATTATAGTTGAATAAAAAATAAATTTTCTGAACGCTGCACATTCTAATATGAAAATATCCCATTTTGGAACATTTCTTTTTTAATTTCAGTTCTTATTATTTTGAAAATTTTGGAATATAATTAAAATTAGTTTGTTATTTAAATTTTCTACTAGACTTTTTCCGTGATTGTTAGATTGATCCAATCCGTACATTGAGCCTGATTACTTATCAATAATAAGGGTCAAGGCCCTATAAAAAGTCAACCCGAAAGATAGATATTGGGCCTCAATCAATAATTTGATTATAATAAATTAGGCATTTGAAAATATGATAAATTATGGACAACCCCTACGGTATGTTCAAATTGCGAAAACCCTCCATTATATTTGAATAATTACAATCAACCTTCTTAAGTATGTATTGTTTTACACGTCCACTTTTACGGTGTCAAGTTTCTTATTTCTGTAACCGCGGTTACAGTTGCAATAAGTACTTTAAAGCTCAACAAGGTTTTAAACAGATAAAGCAGATCAAGAAAAATCTTTTCTCCTTGACTCTATTGCCCGTGTCCTATCTATTAGGGCTCCATCGGTGAACATGTAAGTCGGTGGTAATCAAGCGGCAAACGATGTTGGACACCTTGCGTATCCCTTTTTCATTGGGGGGGGGGGGGGGGGGGGGGGGGGGGGAATTTTTTTACCTTCCAAATTTCCATTATTTAAAAAAAGGACCCCCTTTTTCTTCCCTTTTTTGGGAATTGGGGGATTAAAAAACGGTCCCAAAAAAAAAACGGGGCCTCTTTTGAGAAGGGGAAAAACCACCGGGCGACCCTTTTTTTGGTACCCAACCCAATTTTTTGCCCTAAAAAACTTGGGGGGAAAAACCAGCTTTTTTCCCCTAAAAAAAAATTTTTTTTTTGTCGTGCGGCTAGAACGATTTTCTCCAAATTACAGCTACCTTAAATCTTCCGAAATTCTGAACTCCGATATCCTCATTCGTTTTTAGAACGAAATTGACACTAATATAAAAACATCAAATACTTTTTACGGGTGTCAATTTCGATTCGATTTCGAATTTCAGATTTCGGATTTCGGATTTATTCATTCTGCATTGAAACAATTGGCCGTTGTAAAATCTGCACAAAGCCCACCACACACCAAACAAAACCTTATTCAAAAGTCGCTCTCTAAAAAGCACAAAAACCAAAACCAAACCCCCCAAACGACGTCGTTTACTCTCCGGTTTACCGTTATCAGTAGCTCAAACAATGGCAATCGCCGAGGAGAAACCGGCGACCTCGTCGGACGGCAAAGTATGGGGGCTATTCAGATTCCCCTTCCGGAATTCTCAGTCGGCAGCTTCGTCTCCGTCGAATTTCTCTCACTACCAGCAGAATTACGGCCATGGAAACAGCAACACCCATCCGCAGGCGGAGGGTTCCGGTGCTCAGGGAACATCGGTTTCTTCAGTTGCTAGATCTCTCCTCCCTGCGCGGCGGCGCTTGAAGCTCGATCCCTCTAATAAGCTCTACTTTACTTGTACGGACAAGTTACCGTCAGTTCGCTGCTCATTTTTTTGATTTTTTTTTTTCTCTTTCATTTACTTGCTTGATGATGGAAGTATTATTGGTGAATAATTCCTCTTTATTTAGTTCAGTTAAAGCTTGATCTGTGTTTTGTTTTGATGGATGAATTTGTCTAGTTGGTTAATCTCAGATTATTGGCAAAAAGTATGATCATGTTAGACTTGAAGTACTGATTTTATTTGATTTTATTCTCAACTTTGATTGGAGAAATAGTGAGTAGAATTGCTGGATTTGCGAGTTGAACATTCGATTTTATGCTTTTTCTTCGTAGTCGAAAAAAGAAAATTAATGCTGCAAAATAGACCGTCAAACATTTAGGTAAAGAACAACAATTTTTATTTCTCGAAAAGGAGATTTTGATTGTTCGTTTAGACTTCGTCGTTTTCATGTTTGTGGCTAAAATGAAATTCATTGATTATTGAACATTAACTTGGTTTTCTTGAACTAACTGCAGACGAACCAGGTAAACAAGTTCAGAGTGCTATCAAAATTAAGAACACAAGCAAGTCGCACGTAGCATTCAAGGTATTCGAAAATTGTTTTCAGTTCTGTATTTAGTCCGATTATGCTATTTCTATTAATTTACGGGCTCTAATATGCTTGATTTGGTTTATGTTACTTACTTCATATCGTACGTTATTTAATTTGTCGAGTTTTCTTCTAAGGGAGGCTTATTTTTTATGTAATCTAGTTCCAAACAACTGCACCGAAAAGCTGTTTCATGCGTCCTCCCGGGGCCATTCTTGCTCCCGGTGAAAGTATCATAGCAACTGGTAATCTTTGTTACAGAATTATTTCCTCGTTTTTATGCTTAATTTGTATATCGTAGAATGCAATAAATGTGAATACTTGGTAAATGTTTTTTTTCCTTTTACTACTGTTAGTTTTTGTTTTGGCTAGAAAATGACTCTTGTACGTTTCTTGATTTCCTATGTTTCCGTTAGTATTCAAGTTTATCGAGCCTCCAGAGAACAACGAAAAGCCTATGGATCAAAAAAGCAGAGTGAAGTTTAAAATCATGAGCCTGAAAGTGAAAGGACCAATGGACTACATACCCGAACTGGTCTGCCTCTATTACTGTGTTCTTTCAATTGTTATTACATATGCTAGTTGAGTATTGTCCGGTTGTCTTGAAATCTTGATTATATTCCTAAGTTGGATGAAAAATTGGTAGTTGATATTTTCGAGACAACAAACAAAATATTCATTTAATTCATACGCTCTTGTTGGAACAGTTCGATGAGCATAAAGATGAAGTGGCTGTGGAGCAAATACTTAAAGTTGTTTTTTTAGATGTCGAACGCCCTACCCCTGTAAGTAATTTTTTTTTTTTGAACTCCTTAATGTTTATATACCACTAATTTAATTGGGGTTTCTTAGAGATAAATGTTTGCAATGGAAAAATGTTGATCAATATCCAATACATGCTTGATCCTTATTAGGCTCTGGAGAAATTAAAGCGCCAGCTGGCTGAAGCGGAGGCTGAACTCGAGGCCCGGAAAAAGCCTTCAGAAGACACGGGCCCGAAGTTTGTTGGAGAAGGACTCGTTATCGATGAATGGGTAAAGCCATCAAGAAATTTTTTTAAGATGTTTATAATCAAATTTTCGTTTGGTGTTTTTCATCATCTTATTTTTCTTTTTATTGCAGAAAGAAAGGAGAGAGAGATACTTAGCTCGTCAACAAGTCGAAGGAATAGATTCCGTATGACTCGAGTTACCTATGGCTGATATTTCTTTTTTTTTTTTTTTTCTTTTTTCTTCGTGGGTTAAATTCTGCATTTTAATCTGAGGGGTGTATAGATTTACGTATCGAACGTTGATTATGCTAAAAGTGTTATAATCCGTAATTCAAGAATGTGTTTCATTTGATTTGAGGAAACAGATTTCGCAGACTTCACAAACAGTAGTTCTAATCCATGATCCAAGAATTTCGAAACTACGGAAACAACAAGACGATGATGTCTGTGGGTGTCGAATCCTGACAAATACGTAAAATTTTATAATTACGTAAAATTCATTTACAAAAATACAAAAAACATTGTAATTTGATTAATCCCAGCTTGTATTGTATACTTCACCCAGCTGGTAATTAGTTCCATTTGTCCCATGCAAACGCCCATTATCACTACTGTCGAAAACCCTAGTAATTTACGATGCGTTTTTCTCGTATGAACCCTTTCAAAATTCTTCCATAAATACCGGTTTTTAATCAAGCAAATTTAAGAAAACATACATAGCTTACACACACACACGAAAACATGGCTAAGAGAAGCAGCAAACTCTCGATTTTCTTCAACTTAGCTCTGGTGCTCTCACTTCTTCTCATAATCTCGACTATGGCCGAAAGCAGATTGATTTTTAATGGTAAGTTTCAAATAAATTCAATTATTCAAATTTTACGAGAAGATTTTCTACTCCCTACATTTCGAATTAACTCTCACTTTGGATTTATTTTTTTAATTTCGTATTTATTAGTTTTTTTTTTTTTCAATATATGTGCAACATGTTAGTAAATGACATCTATTTTAAAATGCAAAGAATATATTACACATTATTGATAAAAGTTAAGGCAAGTTTTACATACATATATTTGCAGCGATCAAGGCGAGTTCAAAGGTGAGTTGCGACTCGGTGATCGGAGTGAAGAGCGGCGAGACTTGCACGGAAATAGCAGCCAAGTTCAAATTGAGCACCACGGTGTTCGACGCCATCAACCCTAACATTAACTGCTCCAAAATCTTTGTCGGACAGTGGGTTTGCATCGACGGCTCTGTTAATTAATTGATATTATTATATTCCTCCCATGCACGAAAAAAAACTCGTTCGTTTTTTTAATAAGAGCTAAATCATTTTAAGCTCTCTATCAGTTGTTGTCGTTGTCGTCGTTGTTGTTTTTACGTTTTTCAAAATGAAGATATGACATTTTAGCATTTTCTTACATACCATTATACCAAAATAATATTGAATAACCGAATTTAATTACATATACATTATATTAGAAATATTCAACAATTATTCATTACGATATATAAATAATTCAACTATGTAATTAGATTTTTCAATTCTTTTAAAGCCACAACAAATATAATTTATCAATTATTAAATTAAGACGTAATATTAATAGAAGATAATCTATATTTTATTATTTTTGTATGTGTCCCTTGTTCCGGCCAAGTTGGATATTGGGCCTTATAGGTAACTTTATAAGCCCAATATATATATCCATGTTAAATTGGGCATTACTCTTTTAAGCCCAATTAAATTAATATTAACAAAAAGTATATTAATTTAATTAAAAAAAATTGGTATTGCCAAATCTTTTTGCCATTTTCAGTGCGAAGGGAATAAGATGCTTGCTTCAACTTAACACATCTTGGAATAGATTCTTCTTATTTAAAAGCAGAATTTATAGATTGTTAGTTAAATTTGGGTTTAAGTGCTTATTTCTTAAAATTTGGGGTGTTCGTAAATTTAGTGAAAAATGAACTTAAACAGAAAAAACAATGTTAGTACTTAATAAATTATAGCTTAAAGTTGTTTATTTTAAGAGAAACAGAAATAAAAATTTATTTTGCAATCACTTAAAAATAAATTATGAGAAAAAAAAAGCTCAAAATCAATTTGTATATTGTACCGAATATGATCTTCATTTATAAAATCAATTATCATAAAATGGCATAGAATAAGTAAATATCTATAATATTTATCATTTAATTAAAACAATGTATATATATATTCCAACCACAAGTCGTCAAAACGTAGCTTTTTGAGCTTTATCCAAAACTCTCAAAAGGGGAAAGAGAAACATAATACAAAGAATTGTGGATAAGGTTCTTTTTTTTGTCTCAAAATAAATTTAGGATAAATTGCAACCAACACCCCAAGGTAATATCAAATTACAAAAACACTCCTCATAAAAATGCAACCATCCTCAGTTACGTATTATCTTATACATCCACCTTTACAGCGTCAAATCTACTTATTAAGCAAGGGAATTTTCATAAGTAAACACATAGTTTAGAAGGGTTGTGATTACCCGAACATAAAGGGTATTCTTGCAATTTTGACCTTAACTTCAAAAGCAGCCGTAATTTACCCGTATATAACTTTATCAGATAGGAATAGTATAAACTTTGGGTATCAAGTTAAATGAGTGAAGAGGAATATGAACAAGTATCCATTCATTGAAGTACCACTCATCCCTATCAAAATTATGTGCCGAATCATGTGATTAGTGGTTGTTGCAATATTTTTTTTTTTTTAAATTTCCGTGACCAAAATGATTATGATTATCTAAATAATTAAATCTTATTTGATATTTGTTATTTAATATATACATATGTATATTTCTTTGTCACCAAAAAGGCAGAAAATTAAATTGTTTCATTAATTCGTGACAGAAAGAAAATTAAATTGATTTCGCGGTGGGTCACATGTGAATCCGATTCCCATTGGATGAGTGAATATTAAGATTTACTCATTTATTGATTCCATCAAATCTTTTTGTTAGATATCTCACTTTTCATTTATTTTATTTTATTTTATTTTGTTTTCTATTTGCCTTTATCCATTTTGTACAATCATCAAGATATTGTGCGTTATCCAAATTGAACCACTACTATACATGTGAATCTTATGAACTTTATAAGTATTTGAACTTGTTCTACTGCGTCTCGATTATTGAGAACCGATAATCATATAGATGCACTGAATAAATTTACAACATTCTCATATAATAGTTTACAAATCAGACGAAAGACACAAACTACACTAAATTAACTGTGTAACAAACTCGATCGTTTGATCGTTGACAATGAAATTTGAACTTGAGTCAAACAAAATCTTGCTATTGTTGAAAGTGGGGATTAAAATTAAACAAGCATCCAAATTTAAAAGAATTGTGTATATATATTTTTTTTCAAAATCAACACAAACTACACAATATCACTTCATTCAATATTTCAATTAATACAAACATCCATGGAATCAATTACAAACAACCCTTTAATCCATATATGTATATATATTTTTTCTGAGGGACTCATCAACAATTACATCGAAATTGAACCTAATACTTTGTAACAAACTAAATCCAATTCAAACTTTTTTTTATGCACCACCATAATATAAAAATCATACTTTGTAACTATCCCCTCCCTTCTTCAGTTCAACATTTCCATTAGGATAATCACCATCACCAATAAACCTACACCAGAACCAGTGCTGCTTCCACACAATCACCATCTCCTCGATCGGAATATTCTTCGTCTCCGGCAAGAAAAAGTATATGAACACCGTCATCACCATCACGAAGAAGCCGAAAAACAAGAACAGCCCGAATTTCAGGTGGCAGAGCATAGTCAGAAATATTTGAGCCACAAGAAAGTGAACACCATGTTGACGGAGACGTTCAAACTCTGAGCGGCGGATCGGATTTCTAGCGGGAAAATCTCACTTGGCACCAACCACCCTAGTGGGCCCCACGACCAAGCGAATCCGGCCACGTAGATGCAGATAAACAGCACCACCAGAATTGCGTACCATCTCGGTAACTCACCTGGAGTTCCGTCCACGCCGAATTTAATGGCTATGCATATTGCGACCACAACCTGAAAACAAATCGAACGTAAAAAATTAGTTTTTACAAACTATATAGTGCCTGGATAAAATTTAAAGATTTGCAATTTGGAGTGACTATAATGATTGTTGTAACAACAATTTGAAGACCCTTTTCGCCATTTTGTTCAAATATTTCGTCTAAATTCGGAAAAAAAGATTAGTAATTCGTACCTGACAAACGAGCATTTGAATACCGCCTTCAAGAAAAAGGAACCTCCTCCCCCACTTATCCACACCATAAATCGAAACAATCGTAGCCAAAACATTCACCCCACCCGTAATAACGGCCGACATCAAAGCAGCGTCGCTCCCGAATCCAATCGTCTTGAAAAGGACAGGCGCGTAAAACATGATCACATTAATACCCGTAAGCTGTTGAAAGAAGGGAATCATAATAGCCATTGTAAGCTGAGGCCTGTACTTCCTCTGTAGAAGGTTCCTCCAAGGGTGCTCCACTTGTCTAGAAGCTTCACTAGCCGCCACCAAGTCGTTGAACTCTTCGTCGACGTTGGCCAAACCTCGGATCCTCATGAGTTTGGTTCTGGCCTTGTCTTGATGCCCACGCTCGATCATGGAGTTTGGTGTCTCGGGTAGGACTAACGATCCGATGGTGATGATTAAAGCCGGGACCATCGCGCCACCTAAGCTCAACCTCCAGCCCCATCCACCCTTGATTTTGGCGAATCCGTAGTTCAGTATACTCGCCGCTAAAATGCCGATTGTGATTGATAATTGGAAACCAATGTTGAGTGCTCCTCTGAACTTGTAGGGAGCCATTTCTGATAGGTAAAGTGGCACAGACTGCAGCAAAAAATAAAAATAAAAAAATTCAATTGTAAGTGATTCTACCTTGTACTACAATTTATCAATAGTATAAAATAAAATTTTATCATTATACACATCATCTATAATAATGAATTAATAGCAAGTATCTAGAAGGGAGGGAGAAAATCAAAAGGGCCATGTC